ATTGCTAGTTTTTTTGCGGTTTGTTTTTTACCATAGAGGGATTCCCTCAAATGACACGAACAGTCATGCATCAGCTTCATTCAAACTTACCCTCAAACACGTGAATGCAAACTCAAGTCTGCTTCCCAACACATCATTGAAGTCTTTTGAGGATCAGCTTGTTATAGATCAGAACAACTTGCACGAAATTGGCAAGCACTATTTGCAGTTTAATTATGATGTATTATCTTTGTATTACAATGCAGTAACTTTCGATGTGGTTTGTGCTTTTTCCTTTGCGCCTCACTCATAGCCTTCCTCGAGCGATATTTGCATTACGCTGTGACACCATCCTCCGCCGTAATTAGTTGATTTTTGACAGCTGTGATTGGTGCATTAGATCCTCCAATGTTTTGGGAGTTGCTCATTCGGGGCCGCTGCCCTATGTCTCTTCTGTAGCTTTTTTCTTTTCTTTTTTTCTTTCTTTAAGTTGGGCACTCCTAATGAAAGCAGAGTGTAAAACTATATTATAAGGTATGAACGGAGTTAATGAGAAATGTGTCACTGATACATAGCATACTACAAATATTTTAAACAGTCTCCTCTTTTAAGAATTAAGTCAGCTTAAAACATGAAAACAACGAAAAGATATGAGACAATCGATTTGTGTCTTTATAGCTGACTCATTCCCAGTCCTCCCATTTCAAGTGACACAAAAGCAAAGCAAGGGGACCTCTACATTGCTTTCTTTCTTTCCATAACATTTCGGGCTCTAACTTCCCCAGGTTGGTTGCTGCGTCATGAGGATGGCTGGGTACTAATTGGTCGAGTGCTGTGTTCAGGCTTGTAATTACCATACTGTTTGCTTAACAGTCAAACTGGCAAGAAAGTTTTGTTGAGATTTGATATGTAATACTCCACATGTAATAACCTACTAGTGAGCCATTGAAGTGTTTGGCAGCAAGTTGAAAAAAACATTCCTCTTTTTCAGATAAAGGAGTTCCACAGCTGTCTGTGTTCAACGTCCAGCAGCTGAAGCAAAGAGCAATGAAAGAAACAAAACAAATAACAGTAAAGAACAACTTGCTAGAGGAGCAAACAACCAAGAAGACTTATTAAAGATATATTTTTACGACTAATGAAGATAATACAGAAATACAAAATGGCAATGAAACAATTTCTTTTCCGGCAAAGTAAAACACATAAACGGATTTTCTATAGGCCAGCTATGCACTTGCCGTTGTAAATGATATGAAGTTTTGTTTCCTTTTTTGTTGAAAGAAAGCTGGGTGAGTGTTAATACTTGAATTATAAAGTACTATCGGCGATTTCTGAAAAAAATAGATATCTCCGGTTCTATTGGGCCTAACAAGTCCCTTAAAACGGGAAAATTCTCTTTAGCTCCAGCTGGTGTTAAATGGAAATTTGTTACTGATGCGCCGGATATCTTTGGATTATTTTTGTCACCATCAAGGTTTTGTTTTCACGCGTGCCGCTAGCAATTTGTTCGTCACGCAACTAATTATGCGTGAAGTAAACTCGAGTCGGCATCATTTTTACGTGTCGCTTTGTGGCACTCTTAATACAATAAAATTCATTTGAGAGGTGGAAACGCATGTCGGTGATAATTTTTTTTCAATTCAACTACCAATAGATTTTAAAATTGTCACATAACCCGCATCTCCCTATTACCCGCAGTGGCGCGCGTTTAATGCAAAATCAACAGATTACCCGCGGGTAAACGGCTGGAAATTACGGTATTAAGTTTTTTACCTGGGGTATAGTTTACAACGTTTTGTTTACTTTTATTAGGTTTTGACCTGGGGTATAGTTTACAATGAGGATTAAGTTCCTCCCTTCTATAATCCTTTTTAATAAAAATATATTATATATGTTATTATTTTTAAAATAAAGTTGTTATAAATAAATACTCCAGAAAAAGAGAAGAGCAATCAAAAAATCGCTTTTAATTCTTTATTTACATGGAAATCTAACTGGTAAACATCAGAATAAAATCCAGTGGCGTTACATACACAACTAAAGAGGACCAATGTACTTCAACCATAAAAATCAGCGCAACAAAAGGAAAAACCTGGAGCACAATTGGACCCAGTGCCTCTTTTACAAAATAAATTGTTTAGACCTTAAGTGACATTTAATGTAACTTTTCTTAATATAACAATACCTTAAATCTTTAACTGATGTATGTCTTTGCTTCAAAAGGCTAATCAGTAATAAAAATGAACAAAAGCAGTATCCTCTCTAAGAAATTCTGTGATATCTTCAAGGTCAGCAGTTTGCAATGAACATTTCTCTTATGTTATTTCCACGAAGTACCTCAGTTAAACTCTGAAATAATTCAGCATCTATTACTGACAACAATGTCGCAAATTGCATTTCCAACTTTTACTTTCGGCGTGAGTTTGAGGAAGCCATGATGGTCAAAATTCTGATAAAGATGTTGATGGTGTCCATGTATATCCCAATTGACCTGACCAAAGGAAAATATTCATAGTTGTTTCTACAGTGCAACGTTTATGTAATTCAAAAGAACACAATATGAAATGAAAACACGGGCAAAATTATTGACGTAGAAACAAATCCTGTCATTCATGTCTAAATCAAATAGAGATTTATTCTATTTGGTATTGTGAAACGAAACTTAATGGATGGCTAGTTTTGGCAACATGTTTCCTAGCTCAGGTAGTGTGACAATTAAACATAACTTTTTGTTCTTTATATACATATTGATTAATTTTTGGGTAGTTATAAGTACATGACTGCACTTACGCATTGATGGGGTCATATGGTACGGCAGCATACAAAGGATATGTTTCTGCCTTTCTGATGATCTTCTGTGTGTCATACAACATGAATCCTCCAAAGATGACAAGCCCACCATATGTAACCACAGACTGCAAACCTACAGCCACCATAGAGCTCGCTGGCAGGAACAATGTACCTGAAAGTACACACAGTCATACAATCTGTTTCTCAAGCTTAATAAAGTAACACGTTCACTCCACAGCCATATGACAGCAACTGTTAAAGGTTAAAAGTTTTGAGAAGAAAATTATAACTTACAATCATTGCTACCAGCCAGGATTTATTGGATCAAAGGAAGGAGCTTTTCACAACAGTGCAAATTTAAGCAATGATAAAAGAAAGGATTCTCTGTATACACATGCTGTACAATACGGTATTGAGAGTATGTGATGTTTCTTGATAAGAGTTACAATGAAGTGGAAACATTTAACAAACTTGCATGGATTGCATTTTCCAGTGTTGGCATTTGGTAAATTAGTTAATAATCATATAAACATAAAGCTCATAGAGTACCAACCGAGCATGTATTACAAGAAAATAATAAACACATACCAAGGCATGCCATACACACACCACCAAGGCCGATGGCCAAAGGTCCACCCCATGACAGAAATTTACCATCAGGTGCACAGGCAGCTGTCAGAGACAAGGCCCCAACGACACCACCAGTCACAGCAGCAGCTCTCAGCACTAATGGACCTCCAAGTAACATGAGAGGGGCGATAAGGGTGCCTATAAGTGCACTGTGACCTGGACACAATCAGACACCAAATAAATTAAACTTTCAACTTAACCACTGCACAAACATTAAAGTAACTTTTCTATATCAAAATTGGTAATGAATTATCATAACTGATAATAAGTTGTTATGAGACTGACAGATCTGCCTAATTTCCATTATTAAATTATTTTTGTTAAGGAACTGCAACATACAAGTCATGATGTTGTGAAACTTTGGTTACATAGTAATTTATAACAGCACGGTAGTATTTTAACAGTGCATCCTGCTGCATTAATTTACCTCTTACATCTAGAGTCCTTTGTTGTTGATTGATGAAATTATTAATAAATTTTTCTCACTGAATTTTGTAACAATCTCATAGGTATTGTTTGATTTTTTATGTACAACTGTAATCAGTTTTTGCAAAACTACAATTAACCTTTTTTGAAAGAGTTCACCTTGGTGCACTTGACTTGTGCAAATAGAAAAAAAAATGAATGAAAGGATATATATACATTTAAAAGGATATAAAGTTTTAGCTTTTGCTTGCATCCATTTTGCTTTATGGGAAATATTAAATTTTAACATTGACCATTTCTTGTTGATGAAAATCAAGCACTTAGGCATGGCTGAATTGAACTTGCCATAATGTGGTCAATACAGTAAGGCCTTAGTTGAAGCTTTGTCCATTATGATCACAATCTCACCCTCAGTCAATAAGTACAAGTACCAGTAGCTAATATTGTTTGTTTTACAATATGTAAAAATCATCCACAGTTTGCATGTACATTGAGACCAAATTTTGCATATGATCACATTAGAATATTTGTTAACTTACCAACCCAAGCTATGTGCTTTGCATTCAGCCCTGCTTCATATGGCAAACTCATACACAATATAGAGCTGCCTATTGTAGCAATCATCCCTCCACCCACAACCTGTTGATTATCAACAAAATGGTTTCACTCCACAAAGCAATTAAACAATACTTCTGTAACATGAACAAAAATCATGAGCTGCAAGTGAGTGCTTGCTGACTTATCACTCATCAAAACACCTAAGTTGAAGCCCTTTTTTGCAAACACAGGAAAATAAAAGGCTGATTAGGGCATACGTTAACATGCTCAATTACTTACCAGCCATGGACTTGCCCTCATCAAGGTAAACACTGCTCTGCTTTGACTGATAACATATGCTGACACTGCTGTTACAGCCAGACTTCCAGCAAAATAAGAGTAAGTTGACCTCACACGATCACGTACCACCTGAGGCCATACCATAGCACGATCAATTGCACCCATCTCATTGGACAATCCCAAGCCATAATAACAAAGGGCTCCCACACCAAACAAGGCGGCCCCACCAACAACTGCACGACCAGTTGTTTCAGCTGCAAGGAAGACTTTTTTCTTAATAAATGAAAGCTGGTCTTTCTGAGCTGTGCAATCCCCATCCCTAGATCTCAGAATTGTCTTATATAATATTCTGAAGGGAACAGCTCTTGGAACAAATACATGTATCAATTATGGTCCTTCAACATGCTGTGAATGTCCTAGGATGTTTCAAATAACAGATAGAGGCATCTTTTGCATAGCTGGTTAACTAATCACATGAAGTCCCAATACAAGTGGCCACATCATTGGAAATTGTTAAGTCCACAAAGGGGCCACTTTAAGTGACTATGTGGTACCATAAGGTAAAATTTGGCATTAAGATAATGGCAAAATTTTTAATTTCATTTGTCTATGCACACAAGCATTTCTTGAAGCCACTAAGTCTGTCAGATCATATATGATATTACTGACCATAATGGAGTCAGTAATGCAATGACTGAATGGCTACTACACTTGTGTCAGTATAATAGGAAATTCTGAAAAAACTAGTAGCAGAATGACTTGTGTCTGTAAAAGGAAATTCCAAGAGATAGCCAGTAATGCAATGACTTGATGGCTACATTTGCGTCACTATATCGGGAAATTCTAAGATAGCTGGTAATGCAATGACTTAACAGCTACCTTTGTGTCAGTTTATAGCAAAATTATAGCCAGTAATGAAATGACTTAGCAGCTAAATTTGTGTTGGTATAGAGGGAAATTCTAAGATAGCCAGTAACACAATGACTTAACAGCTAAATTTGTGTTGGTATAGAGGGAAATTCTAAGATAGCCAGTAACACAATGACTTAACAGCTAAATTTGTGTTGGTATATAGGGAAATTCTGAGATAGCCAGTAATGCAATGACTTAACAGCTAAATTTGTGTTGGTATATAGGGAAATTCTAAGATAGCCAGTAACACAATGACTTAACAGCTAAATTTGTGTTGGTATATAGGAAATTCTAAGATAGCCAGTAACACAATGACTTAATCCTTTGACTCCAGAAGTGATCAACATGTAACTTCTCCCCATAATATCCTTATATTACCCAGCAAACAAGTAATGAGAGTAATCTCAAACTTATCAGGTAGAATTTGTTATTTTGATCTGAAAACAAATTCTCATAACTAATTTACAGAAATGTGTAGCACCTAGAGGGGAGAATTCACAATCAGATCTTGGGAGTTAAGGGTTAATGGCTACATTTGGGTCAATATCTAGGGAAATTCTAAGATAGCCTGTAACACAATGACTTAACAGCTAACTTTGTAACAGTATACAGGGAAATTATTTGCACGACAACTTATTTGCATGACTTAACAGCTAAATTTGTGTTGGTATATAGGGAAATTCTAAGATATTAGCATTTCTGAAAACTGGTGCGTGTAAAGTATGAATTCCAAAGAATGACTGCAGACATTTTATGCATTCAAGTTTTGTTCGCCAACTGTTTTCAAATTTGATTTGCATAAAATAGAAAAGGGCATTTTGCAAGGTTTATGGAGAGACCTTTGAATGAAGTGCATTTGTAAGTCATCAATGCTTGGACCTTCCTATAAGCATAAGCAGTTGCTTACTGTCAAGCATCAAAAAGTTGTGAGCTGTTTTGAGTTCTCTTGTGATGAATTTTAAAAAGGATTTGAAAGCTTTTACCACTAGTTCCCAGTTGAAAGAGAAAAGAGAAAACCTTCAGTAAATAAACTTGGATCATTTGGAGAGAAAAAAAAATCAAAGAATTTTGGTTTGGAACGCTCATTCGCCAGAATATGATGCAGAGAGTGTGTTGAAGAAATGGACAAGATTTTTAAGCAAGTTCATGGCAAATGTCAATGGCAAATTTTGCCTTCTTTTCTTCTTA